CATGGAATGTTGCTTAATTACATATTTTATTATGCATAACTGAAAATTATGTACTTTAGCTTCAACAATGATATGAAAGCACGTATTGTTTATAAATAGAGATGCTGGTTTGTCTCTTTTTTATATGACAAATATTTGTAGAATCCTCATCCTCACAGGTTCTTCTAAAACTTGGCTTTTCAAAAATGGTGTTCTGGGGCCAGGGATTTAGCTTAGTGGTTCCACCGCCTTCCTTGAAAGCACAAGGACCTGAGTTCGATTTCCGGTACCAAAAAAACCCAAAACTGTGTTCTTAGAAACAACTTCAAGTCTTAATGTTTTTTCTCGAAATTAGAACTCTCATTGCTTTGCAAAAGTATGGTGACATCATAATATTATTGTGGGCAAAAAGCACTGAACAGTTGTACGTTTTTGTATTAGCTTCATCTTACTCTTAAATTTTACACAGTTGTTTATTAACTGAAAAAAATGTTATAATTGTTACACTAGGGGATGACTCCATGGGAGCTCATTATCTGTACTTTTTCTGTTTGAAAATTTCCACAGGAAAGTTTGTTTTTAAAAAGTATGTGGTGTGTGTAGATCTCATACCAGGACAGCAGAATTTTAGGATGAAACTTGATTCGAATTACTTTCACAATCTAACTTTTCCATATTAGCAAAACGTACTTTACATTTATGTTATAGTTCTGAAAATTCTGAGTTACAATTAGTTCTTTCTTAACTTGAGAAACCTTTTATGAAGAAAATAGAAATTTGAAGATAGAAGACTGGTTTGAGAATAATGTGACCATGTAACAGCTGAACAAATCAGTTATCCTATTTGAATTTCTTTTCTCTTGTCTTTGAAGAATTTCAGTGCCTGCCTAAAGTACCTCACAGTGCAAAGGGGGGCTTTAAACAGGTAAAATGAAACACTGTACAAATGTTGCTATTATCATTTTATTTCATTTTATCTTTTGGGGGGTACCTGGGATGGAATTCCAACGGCCCTCTTTTCAAGGCAAATGTTGGAACCACTGAACCAAATCCTGGCCCTATTATCATTTTAAACATGTTAAAGACAATGCTAGTCAAGGGGCTTCAGAAGATAGAACGCCATTGTACTAGACTGGGCAAAAGATACTGTACTTAGAAATTAAAACTGAAAACAAAGGTGGCTTATGTGAAAACTGTTTCCACACAGAGACGCTGTTCATCAGGTTTGCACTGTGGACTAATGCTCTTTTGCGTCAGATTGCTGCATATGCAATGAATTAATGGGTACATTTAAAAGCTCAAACTTTCTCCAACCTTCTCATTAAGCAGACACTATTGGTTCTTTCATGAGTGGAAAATTAGAGCAGCATGCGGGACATCATTCTTTTTACTGGAATGTGTAAGTGCACGAATTAAAGACTCAGTCACTGTAATGAAAACTTTTGAATATATTTCGGATTCAACTAACAGTAAAGAAATAATATTCAGAATTTAACTTGGGGCAAAATATATCACCTTAGAGTTGCTCTGCAAATGTTTATTTTGCAAGACAACAAATATACTACTCTCCTGCATTTCCTTGTCAACCACGTGTTCAGCTGCTGTTCAGGGAACAGCTCCCAGCCAAGTGTTTCTGACCATGGTAGGTACATGCGCAGCTGAAAGTAACTGATGGTAAAGGATGGCTTCTTACCCAACCTGGGTACCAAGCAAGGAGCTGCAACTGAATTTTGATAGTGTTCTTTAGATAAAATTAAGTTTGTATATATATTTTTTCATTCCAGGTGAGTATGGTAAGAAAGGCTTAAAAATGCTGATTGCCTTTTAGACATTAATTCCAAACTATTTTTATTTAACATATGGTTAATTGTTAAACAGATATAGTATTCTGAACATTCACCTTCCACATTTCTTTAATAAGGGTACTTTATATTTTATCAAAATGTGCATAATATAGTTCAGCTTTTGTGAAGACATGCAACTATTTAATATTTACATTAAAAGGACTGCCTCTGAACACTCAATCCATATTTCCCCTTAGAAAGTAAAATATATATATATATGTAAGGTAGACTATATTATCAATATTTTGATGTTTTAGATGACTTGTATTTTGGACTTCTCTTGCTTTCCACACTATCATGCAAATTTCTGGTTTGCTTTAACACAATAGTCCTATTTTTATCAGCTATATTATATGGTGTACACATTTTAATTGCTCTTTGAAAATATCACCAGGCAGTTTAGAATATCTCATTTATTGAAAATATTGTGACAATCAAGGACCTTAATATCAGCCAGATGTTAACAATAGGGAATAGGGCAGGATTTAATGATGGAATGTATGGGATTCTCATTTTTACTGAACCATTGAAATGTTTTCTACTCAAGCTATGTACTTTAGGTAAGCAAAGTTAGATATAGTTATCACTACTGAGGGGGAAAAAAACTACTCTTAAGCTCAGAATTCCTTAGGACTAAATGCTAATCAATACACATCTTATATATAATATGTACAGACTCTGTTACCAAGTTGCCACACAACTGGGGCACGCATATTAGCTACCTTGGTTTTTCAAAGGTTAGGTGTCAACTCTGCATATTATGTGGCAAGAAGATACTATCAACATTATTTTTTGCATAATGTGCAAGTATTATATGGCCACAGAGTGCAATACAAATTAGTTGCAAAGTGCTGAGTGAAGGAATCCATGACAGATTCAGATGCACAAGGTTGAATATTACCCGTAAACTACCTGACTCTGCTAAGGTCTTAACAGCACGAAGCACTAGGTCACACGCCCAGCTTTTAAGTCTCTCAAATACTTGGACACAATGAAACTTGTTAAAGGAATTTCACCATAGCCACAGGCAACAAAGAGCAGGACTGGCAAGGGTGATAAATGACTTTGGGGGAAATGACATGATCACTTGGACAAGTCTTTTCTAAAACCTGCTGCCTTCTCTGAAAACCACCTTGCTCATTCTCTCATGGCCATCGTTTATTAACGTGCTTTACACTAATTAGCAAAACCATGCTGACTTTAAAATGTTAAAGAAAATCTGAGACATTTTAAAGCAAAATTTGCTTTTCCCATATATTCATTGAAAACATTTCAAAAAGAATTTAGGTTATCAAAAATGTAAAATTGTACTTGCAACCCTATTTCCTCTTCCAAAAATTTATTAAACTTCCTATTTGACACCTTATGTTAAGTGTTGGACTGGTTTTAAAGAAGACATCGTTGATTCTCCCTGATGCTAATCTAAGCATTTTCTCCGGAATTTAGGGGAAAGGAGGGAGATAAATTTTTAACTTAATGGCATACAAGTTTCTACTTTGTTTTAATACATGAAATTTAGTTACTATTTTCTTAATTCAAATTCCTTTGGCTCAAATAATTACTCTTCTGAACTCTAGCAAACAGGAAAGTTTATAGAGTTTTCTCATTTAATAATCAAAGTAGTTTGCAAAAAACCGGCAGTCTTCAGAGTATCTGAGCTGTTGTGCTTCAAAAGTAAATGGAACTTTAAAAGATTTATTGCGAGTTCTGAATGATCTCCTTTTAGTTTCTTAAGTAACAGCTCAACGTTAAAAGCTGCCCAGTTGCCTACCAATGAGCTCACTGGGGCCTGTGGAATTGGTAGCCAAAACAAAAAAGGACAGTTGCAGAACCACATCTGCAGGGATCCAGGTACCCCTAACATCCACGGGATTGCCAGAGGAGGAAGCAGAAGGTAAAGACAAAAGAACAAACAAAAAAACACCAATAACTGCAACATTGGCCTGAACCCTTTCTGTGATCGTATTTACTAAGGTTTCATTTTGCAAGAGTTCTAAAGATTGTCATGAAATTCCAGGTATGTTATTTTCTTTATGTGGTTCTTACAGTTATAACATACACGGTGAACCAGGCTGAGTTACTTTGTCCATTTGCAAGTTAAAAACAATGCTTACTAAAAGGTTTTTTAATATACAATTCCCATTTCCCCATTTATTATGTTACTACTTAATGACCTTCAAAAATACACCTTAGCTTAAGGAAAAGTGTTGCCAAACTCGAAGATTGTGAAGTAAAAGCAGATGAATCAATTCTAAACTGCTAAGGACTAGATTTATGTCTTTGCTAGAGCCTTTTCACTGTCCTGTTTATGAAGCAAAATGTTGCTCCAAAACAGGTTGTCGTCTTTACAGTAAAACTCATACCTATTAAAAATGAGCATGTGTTTGTGATTTAAATTTACAGTGTTTCAAGTGACTTTTCGGTTGTTCTTTTTAGAAATCAGTAAAATATCTTCAAGAAAGTATTAACATACACCTAAATGAGGGCCATCCTTTGTTAGTTCCTTCACATAAGCAGACAAACCCTACTATGTCATACCGTACAAACAATTTTAATTGTGTAGTTACAGTCAATAACCACTCCTATTCAGAACATTTCTGCAAAAAGAAAATTGTGATACACTTATAAAAACAGCCAGCTGTGACAAAATAGCTGGTGTTTTCATAGCCATAAACTCATAAAAAAGAAATACACCTTTATACAGAAATTTTATACAGATGTAGCTTTAAAATTGATTGTAAACCAAAGGAAGACACATTGCAAACATCAATTATTTTCACATTAATTGCATAATTTTCTAAGGTGATCTATTATTTATTTACCTAAGCTTATTTGCATGATAGTAAAAATTGCATACAACAATAAGAGTGAAGCTTATAGTATGAATTGCTTGGATAACATAGAGCACTTTTTATAGGCAACTGTGTAAAGCACATTTTCTCTATTTAAAACTTTTAAGACACTTTGTTTTACTGCCCATCAAAATACATTTATAAATAGAAAAGAATCAGTATGGTAATAATAGAAGCAATATTGCATTTAACGGAAACTTCCAAAAAATTAATTACAACATGACGCTGCAGGATCTACAAATAAATAATGAGGACTAAATTGTGTTTCACATTTTCTTTTCCTTTTTTTTTTTTTTTTTTAAATCATGTAACAATGAGAATGGAAAAAAAAATTACAGTGAACTTTTATTCCCAAAATAAAAACAAATTTGAATTACGGCAGTGCCATATAATACAAGGCATTTGTTGGCATATGTCATCTTTAAACTGCATTCCACAGTCTATAGTTCTTTTGTAACATACAATAGAGTAACAAACTCTTTTTTTTTCTTTTTTAAAATAAGGGGCGAGTTTTCAAAGATCAGTGTGAAGTGTTACAGAAATTACTGAAGGAGAGGAAATCATAATCACAGAAGTTATAATGCTTGTCTGAGGCTCCAGAATAATAATAATTTTTAAAAAAAAATCTCTGGTATCATGCTTACGGGGTGCACACCGTGGTGCACCCCTTGAACACAAACTTTAATACCAAACAATCCTCGATGCTTCACCTGGGACTGCAGAGCAGTTTATAAAACAGTAAAACATTTAGTGCAGTCTGTACCATCCTTTCCCAACTGTCCTGTTTGTGCAAGTTTCTGAAGATTCATTGGCCAAACAATGAACAACAAAGGTTTTCTGAGCAAATACAAGGTGGACTTTGATTTTGTTAGTAAATACCAGTGGCACTGTTGAATGAAAATAACACTTCTATCTCAGTCTTTCAAATCGGCATTAATGTCTGTGTTTCCTTCCACTGACAGCTCTTCTTCTAGTTTCACTGAAAAAAGGGTGTTGGCATTCTTATCTTGGGCGCTCTCTTCTAAATCCTTAAGCAACTCCTCTTCTTTGTATTCTGCCACATCCACTTCCAGCCCCGAGTTGTCCTTCAGTTTGCCATGGTGCTTGAGATAGTACCGCTGGTTCTGGAAGAACTTGATGATGGTGTACTTGGGGAGGTCGAGCTGGGCGGACAGAGTCTGGATAGCTTCCTCGTCTGGGTACAGGCCCACGTCTTGTATGAAGCTCTGGAGGATGCCCAGGGCTTCCACTGAAATTTTGGTTCGTGGCCGGGTCTTCTGCCGGTTCTCCTCATCAGACTCGGCGGGTGAGGCCACGGTGGGCTGCCGTGGGGGGAGCCGAGGGCCTGCCTGAGCCTGTGGCTGTGGCTGCGGCTGCGGTGGGGCTGGTGGCGGCTGCTGCTGCTGCTGTTGCTGCTGCTGCTGCTGAAAAGAAACAAGCAATCAGAGCTCTGCTCTCCTGGCATCCCACACAAAGCTGTCTAGAATTAGAAAATATGTGCTTATGAGTTCCACTTACACGGTAGCTTCTTTACCAGGAACAAAAATTTGGGGTGGAAAGTCGCGCTACCTAAATGGCCCAGAGCATTTAGGAAAAAAATCACCATGACACGAAGTAGGAAGACACAATTACTACAGCTTTCAGGGCTACTGTGCTTGCTTATCAGAGATCAGTAGAGGAGGAGAAACCTCAGCACTCTGAAAACGTGAACCATAAACTTCACCATGAGATACACATCAAAGGTAAAGACAGCAGGGCAAACTCATGTAAATAATTAACAAAATTTAAAATGAAGATGGAGAAGCAAGTATTTCAAAGACATTTTAGAAAGGTGAGCTAAAGAACCATGGGGAAAGAAATTTGCATTTTGCCCTTTCATCAGATGTCTAAAACACTGAGCAAGAACAGAAGAAAAGTATCTGCTCTAATTTAGCACTGTGTCTGACAAGTCCGAAGGACGCTCCAGAGTCTCGTGTTTGTAGATTTTCTACCAGACAGTTCCAATTAAATATACACAATTCCTCTTCAGATTGGACTAGGCTTTGTTTTTTTCTTAACCTAAAATAAAGGTTTAATCCAAACGATGGCTAGCAAACTGTTTTGTCTGTAGTAAACTTAGATGTAATTAGGATTTAAATTTAGTGTATACTTTCTCGTAATTAGTATCTGTATATGTGTTGTGATTTACATACATAATGATACATAACAAACGTGTGACACATATCTACCATATACTCCATAACCACAATTCTTATCAGCAAAGTAATCAATATGTGGCCAAATACTGTATTTGTACTAATCCTAAGCATTCTTTTATTCCCTAAGAAGAAATTTTATTAAAAACAATTTACATTTCCAAACAAGTACTATTTTTATTACTTAATATATCTTTCTCTTCTGTTTTTTGCTAAACCAGTAAAGTTTTCAGGCTTTCATGACTATTTTAGTGCTTGATATCTTTGGGGACTTTCTTTTCCAGTTTGTTTTATCTTTCATACATACTCGAGGATTTTTTTTTTTCCTGGTGAGTGGAGATAGATTAGATAGATGGATGATAGATAACTTATTTATTTTCCACAGCAATACCAACAAACAATGTAGGTGAATGAACAAAGGGTAGAATTTTAAGGACTGTGGAAGGGGAAAGCTGAATGCGTCCTTTTGATTTGACAGAAATTTACACAGCTCACATTCAATTAGAACATGCTTTGTAAGCTACTGAGGGCACAGGAGTCCCACACACACTGGGCCCCAGAATTGGCCAAGCTGTTCTCAGGGGAGGTCCCTCGATGATGGATGGAGATAAGCCCTTGACAGGACACGTAAGCAGGAAGCTGATCTGCCGCCACAGAGGTCTTTGGCCACAGCTGTGGGTAACGTGTGTGTGTCTGAAAATCCTGACCGTGGGAGCAGGTCTCTGGGCCACTCCTGTCTCCCTCCCTTACTGGCACAGGTAATGTGGCCGCTCACCTGAGGAGCAGCACCAAGCCGTGGTGCAGGGGTCGGCAGGCCTGCTGAGAAAACACCTCTAGATTCTCCTTTCCCAAGCATGGTGGGAGAGGGGCTCTAAAGGAAAGACAAACAGATGAGACTTACCCCTCATTGCACTCTGAGGAGAAGCTCAAGGGAGAGTTGAGATTAAAGCAGGAGTCCACTTAGGTTTCCCTCCCATCTCTGGACAGAATCCAAGGTATAAAATTGTGGTTCTACAAACTTCATTACAGTACGGCAGTAATTCCTTTCTTCAGGGCAGTGAGGTATTAATTAAAAAATAGGTGATACTTTAAATTCTGATTTTTTTGAAAACAAAAAAATTTCTAAGCATTCACAGACAAATCCCAACACTGACAAATGCCCTTGCCAAACACAAAGTGCAAGGGGTTTTCCTATCACTTTGGGGGTGAGGAGAACACAGCAACCAGGATGGGAAAGTGTGTTAATTCTTCTACCCTAAGCAAGATGGCAGTATATTGTTATCTCTCACTAAAAAGCCCATGTTTAGACTGGCAGGAAGAAGAGAAATGCTAATTTCTCTGCTAAGTTTAAATCTTTATTTACTTAGTGCTATATTGAATTGGCCAAGGTAAACGAACCTGAATCTGCTCGGCTGGAACATGGATGATGTGGGGCGGCCTGTCGCCATGGTGATGTACAGCATTGCTTTCCTGTTCATAAATGGCATCGCGCTCTGGCTGAGGAAGACTGAGGAACCTTCGGATCATGGACAGGTTCTCCCACAGGGTCCTATTTTCGGGAGAAGGATCTTCTTTCCAGCGTAACAGCTCACACAGCCATCCCTTGGAGATAAGGGAATAATAATAGGTCAGTCCATGTTTATGGGGTGAGGGCTAGTATTTTTCCATTAGAAGCTAAAGAGGAAAGACCCTATAAATTAACTTTTCTGTGTTTTCAACACTCCAATTTGGCTTAAATTTTTTTTTTCTTTTAACTTAAGAGAGGATGGCTATGGCTATTGAGAAAGCAGGCTCTACTTTTGAGCATTCATATTTGTACCCAGAAAGACAAACATTGTTTTTCACATTCCAAATACAAGAAAGTATTTATCATGGATGTTGTAATACATGAAACAGGAGAAAAGCAAAGACGTGTACTTTGATTCTTGTCCAACTCTCTGATAGTGGCCACATAAGAACATTATAGGAATAAACTTTTTCTAAAAGGCTTTCCTAATCGTATACCTTTTGTAGTAGGAAGAAAGCTGTGTGAAAGGTGTGTGTGTGTGTACAAAGGAGGAACAAATGCAACTGTGTGAGCCACAACGTCCTGGTTAGGTGTAATGATTACCTGCTAAATTTAAAAACCGTCTTCTCCAAGAGTGAGCTTTTAAAAGAGTCCCGCTTTTTTTGCCTGATGCAAAATGAGCACAGGAGTTATGAGGTAAGAATTTTAGTAAGTTTCCTGGGGTAAGAAAGGAAGAAATCAGGGCCGGGGATTTAGCTCAGCGGTTTGGTGGCCTGCCTCGCAAGCACAAGGACCAGAGTTCAATCCCCAGTACCAAAAAAACAAAAACAAAAAGGAAGAAATGCCAGTGAATGCCAAAATCTGAGCCTCTGAGACTTTGTGAGGCTCACATTTTGAACCTAGGGTTATCAAGAACTGAATGATCGAGGAAGCGTGTCTTTCAGCCAGCCTCGCAAACCTTCATTCTGGTGGCCGTGATAGATACAAAGTAATGAAGTAGAGAAGAAAAAGAAGTTTTCCTATCCAGACATCCTCTGGCCATGGCAGCCATCCCTCAGCTGTTGTGCTGCCTGCTAACAGCTCTGAGCCTCTACTCTTGCTGTGGGAAAAAACAAACAAACAAAAAAACTTTGTAGTGAAGGTCGCTCTGCTTCTTCACTGGTCCCCTCATCCCAGCATGGCCAGTGACTGGCTGACCCTGTTGTCCACGTCCCTACCACTATCCCAAGGGAACTCTGTCCTTCGAGTTACTCTCCAGAGGCAGCCAAGCCCGTCATTCCAGGCCTAGTCTTATCTGAGGCCACATTCTTATTGGACCCTCCTCTTCCCTATCCTTGAGGGCCCTCATCCAATCCCAAGTACCGTATTTCCTATCCAAGGTTCTGCTCGTAGGGAACCAGACCTAAGACAAAGGAGTTTATTGGACATTTCAGTAAATTAACTGGGTGTGAATGGACAGAGTAGTGTCTATAATTCTATAATTTTAAGATTTAACTAGGAAGGGTTTCATTTTGTTTTTTTATTACTGGGTGAGGAGACCAAAAGTTAGCATGACTTTTCTTCCCTCTTCAAATGGAACATTTATCTATTCTGAGTGTACAAACAGATCTGTTCTTCCCAAAACGGGCAACTAGAGAGACTAAAACATGGAGAGTGACACATTAGATTCCCACCTAACTGGCTAACAGACTACTGCTAAAACTTAGGAGATCTACTAATTTTTCTAGGAGTGTTACAAGTCTCTAATCGACAAGTCTTTTAATTTGACAAATACATATATGAGGATGGTCATGCAATCATGCTCTCATTCAATGCCACTGAACACACAATTTCAGGTGAAGAGAGCAGGCAGTAAAATTAAGGTTTTTCTGAAAGAATATCAGCTAAATAAAAATTTTAAAATCATTGTGATTACAGTGTCACTGAGAATGTTTCTCCTAACCAAAGCAATTCTATGCTTATTCCTAGAAGAGTATAAAGAAATTCAACTTATGTGGAATACAGTTTTATCTACATAACAGTATTTGAATATTTGAAGCACCTGCATATAGTGCCCTGGAGACATTTATGTAGTTTTTATGGGTAAGTATTTGTGACCTGGATTAAACCATGAAAATACGTATTTTCATACATTTTGTTAAACTTCTAAATTTTATTGCTGTGTTTTAGGTACATATCTTCCTGTAGGCATGAATATTAATTGTGGTGAAGAATACTTTCCTTCTTGTCTGCATCTTTTGGCTATGAGAGCTGACGGGACCCCTATATGCCTCAAACAGGAACTCATACAATTTTATCTACCTTTCAAGAGAAGTTAGAAGGTTCATCAAGAACAGAGCAGAAAACATTTTTTTTAACTTAGCTAATATTCTACTATTGCAATAAATGCTAAGCATTGAGCTTCTACAAATTTTTTTTTAGAAATAAATGCTTGTAACTAAAAATTGCTAAAAGTTAAATTAAGAACGATTCATGTAAGAAAAGCTGCTTGGAGAGAACTGAAAAATTCCAATAATTTTTTCACATCCTTTAGAAACTTTTAAAAGTAATGTAGAGATCAGTTAACACTTGGATATATGTGAAAAAACATGTGGATCACAGATGTTCTTTGGAAAAGAAAATCATTAGTTCTTTTAAAATGGCTAATAATGACAGCTAATTCCTAAACAATCATACTCACGCTGGTTTAACAAATATTTCAGAAAAAGAGCCGTGACTCATTCAACAAATATTTTGCTTATATTGTCACTTCTGCATCTCTATACTTATAAGACGGATCCTTATTTTTATTAATTGCCCAAGACTAACATAACATTTCCAGTAGTTTGCTATTAACCTCTGCCCTTAAATAATACTTTTAATTCCTTATCTAAAAATAATTTGATGAATTACAAGTTGAAGCATGTCTCTGCTAGCCTTTCAAGAGACATGATGATTTTAAGAGACTGAAATCAGATGCTGCTTAGAAAAAATATTTAACGGTGCAGCTGGGAACTGTTAGTTCAACAAGGGTATTCC